CTTGTCGCAGTCAGGCAACTCAGCACTCTTCAATATTTTGAATAGTGCTCAAACGACAAAACTGTTATCAGAGATTCAAATAGCAAGTTTTGTAGAGAATTCAATTCTCTATCGATTGAGCTTAGAATCAACTCTGTGGACTACCGGACAATGCCTCATGAACAACGAATGAAAGTGTCCGATTTTATCTGGGTCACCCGATAGATGTTCCATTATGTCATCTATATAGATTAAAAACAAAAGAGAACCGAAAACACTACCCTACGGCAAGCCCCTATTAATCTTCGCATGTGATGTAACACCTTTATTCATAGTCACAATCTCTCTGACGGACAGATAACTGGAAAACCAGTTTAGCAAGGGAGAAGACACTTTTGTCTTACCTCTAGTTTCATCAATAATCCTTTGTGCCATACATTATCAAATGCCTTGCGAAAATGTAGAAAAACAGCCAAGATGTTGTCATCAAATGCTAATAATATTTCGTGAATAATGGCAACTAACTGATTTACTGTTGAATCACTCCGTTGAAAATCAGACTGATTCCGGCTAAGGAGTTCAAAGCAAGTTAAATACCCATACAATTTGCAATGTATGAAGCGTTCGAGAATTTTTGAAAGGGTTGGTAAAAGAGTAAGGGGACGATAATTTGACGTATTATGACAATCACCAGACTTAAAACTACAACCTACTTTAAAGCTTCAGAAAAAAAAACCTACTTTAAATTCAGAAAAATATCAATGATTCATTGAATAAATACGTTATAACCGAAGTAACAATGGGTGTCGCCTCTTTCAAAATCCTTCTGGAAATACCAGGAGCATTAGCTTTACTATAATCAGTCTTACTTAAAAGTTCAAATACTTCTGATTTATGAATTAGGAAGGTAAACATGGAATACCAGGTTTGTTTAAGTTGAATAGTGGGGTTGTCATTTAGTTCAGTTAAGGACTTTGTGCAGCCATCTGTTAAGTGATTATTTAATAGTTCAGCTTTTACAGCCGAGTCACAAACAGATTCATTTTTTGTTTTATCAAGTAATAGAGAAATGGACATAATTGCCTCTTTATAGACACTACTTCTGATCATACCCCACTATCTTTTAGATGATGAATTTATTTCTGATGACAATTTTCTAAAGTACGTTACTTTGCTTTCCGACAAGCGCGTTCAGACTTTTTTTGATGCCTCCAAATAATCTTTCACTGTTGTTTGGCTTTTATGTCTACAACTTATTTTGTATAACTCATGTTTTTTTAATACTCATCTCTCTCAACTCTGTAAACCATGGTTTATCATTTGATTTTAATGTGATACTTTTGTTTGGAATATCAACAATAAGATAAGATTAAATCAAAACATGAATCTAATCTTGTTGGATTATCTATCAGCTAGAAGAGTTGTGCCTCAGTCGAAAAATCGAAAAAGTGTTTTTTTAGTGGTTGATGGTTTTGTTTGACACCACTCATAACAATGAGCATTAAAATCCCGTATCACTAAACTTATAAATTGATTTCGTTCTTAGTGTTATTAAACTGTTTCTTAAGTGAAGAATAAATCTTACAATAAAGCTTACATTTTGTCCAATCTGGACGATAGCATGCTGTTACAATAAATGTTTTATGTGAAAAGTTTTATTGAACAGAACAGAGTCTGAATAGGAAATTTTCTATTTTAAAGAAACGCATGCAAGATAAACCATATGCAAGGATTCATCCGCCTGTTTTTCCCACTCTATCTTTTCTCAATGATGGTTGATATCAAGAAATTAGTAATTCTGTGTCTAAATCGTTGACAGTAAGTCAGCTCTCTACAATTACAGCTACTGGTGGATTGTACTGTAATATATAATTAGTCAACAAATCAAATGTTATAACTTTTGCAGCGTAAGATGCTCCACTATTATCCTCATCAAATACACTCACAATACTCCTCGTTTTACGTAGTAAAAAGTTTTCATTATTAGTCTCTGATTATGTTGATCGTTACTAGTCATTATTAAATAAATATATTTTGATAAACACACATTTTGCAGTTATATTATCACAAAAGGAAAAAAAACGAAGGATAATTTTTTGTTATCATATAATCACATGTGCTCGACTCGTAATATTTATATGGACATATGTTAAAGATATAGCAAACAGCTGATCTACCTAATATCAGCAAGCTGATAAGAGGAAGATAAATAGTAAAGCATATATAATGGACAAAAGAAATAAAAAACATGTAGGAAGAAGGCGGTGTGGGAGAACCAGCTTACTATAAAACATAATAATCAATATCTTCAAATGTATTAATGAAAGCAACCTTATTTTCCTCATACTTATACATCACGCTACCATTCCTTGTAAACACATATTTTTTATCAGTTACATCCAAATGTGGGCGCACTTCGTCAAGTGTTTGTTGATCAATTCTTGTTAGATTTTCATATAAAACCATATTAGGTGTTTGTTTAATATCTTTTCTTTTCACTAATAGTGCATGACGCTTGGGATGTGAATGGAAATAAGTAATAAATAACAACATGATGTTTTTCTTCTTTCTTAGCACCTAATCTATGTGAAATGTCAATATTTTGTTTTAATAAATCGCTTATTCCTACAGTTTGTGATAATGTTACTATTGCCTTCATTGGTTCTTCGTTTTCCGGAGTCCCGATAAAACGCAAATTAAACTGTTTCGAATGACGCTCACGCTTATTCATATCATTTCTCATAACAACTTAATTTTGTTCAATGTTGGCTATGCGTGTTTCTCTTGATAATAAACGTTTTTCAATAGATTTCATTACACCACTATATAATATATCAACAACAGCATTTTCATCAACATTGGAACTCAAGGGCGCTATTTGTTGCCGGATTTGAGGATCATTGAGTGCAACTTAAACATTATTTTTAACAATTTCTTTATTAACAATAAATTATAGATCTTATAAGATGGCTGGTTTCATTGCATTGGCCTGACGTGATGTGAAGTATTCAGTTTTTTGAGTAAAAGTAGATTTAGACGTATAGAGATTACGAGTTAGAGCAAATTTTGTTAGAGAGAGAGAGACATACAAAAAAAATACATCCGCCCGCGATGTACGAATTTGTTGACCCTTTGCTGAAACCTTTTGATGGATTCCGAATTTAGAGTTCCCACAATTACTAAAATTTACTGTAAGAGGCAAGCATCTTATGTCGACAAATTGTATCACTAAAAAAAGATTGCTCCGACTCTTTGAAACGATATGGGATAATAAGACCGTTTTTATGCTCACAACAATTTCGACTTTTTCCGACATAAAACGTGTCAGAGTGATGTCTGAAACATATTACACCGTTAGGTTTCATGAAATTTCGGTATGAGATTTTTGACCGTTAGTATTCCGATCAAAACAACGTTTAACGTAAGAATAAATTCAATACTCGGAGTCTACATGAAAATGGAGTGGGAAGGAGGCACATTTCATAAGTTTTCTGAAAGTTCAAGTTTTTGCCTGAAAATTTCAGAGTTGGTCCCCTCTAATAAAGGCAAAAGTAAATTCCAGACTGAGATCTCCGATCTTCGAATGAGATACACGAAGATTTCACGTAGATTCCGAGTATTGAATTCACTCTTAAGTTAAATGTTGTTTTGGTGACGAAGTTTAGCAGATACCACCCAAAACTTGCTCGTTTCTCGAGTATTTTTGAAACTTTGCCGTGAGATACCTTTTATTTTTCAATTTAATGAAAAATGAAAGGTACGTTGTAGGTATTGAAAAATTACATCGATTCATATACATTAGGCATTGGTTCAAAATCAAATAAAGGCTTAGCATTCTCGACGATATGGTTGAATACAGAATATTTTCAGTTTTTTACTCTTTTGAATGAAATAACTCATATAAGCTCAAGATTTAAAATCTCATGGACCAGATAGAGCAAACACTTTTGCACATTTCAGATTGTTTTTAAAACATCAAAAATGCTTCTTAATATCGATGGTAATATGAATATTCAAGAATATGTAACCTCTAAGTAGTAAAACTTGATTTTCACAGTGAAAATGATGTCTTTTTCAGTTTTAAAGGTGATATTCGTGAAAAAATTGCATCAAGTTCATTTTCTGGAATTATGAGAAAAATTTTCTGAAAATGCTAAGGGTATTCTAAGCGTCAAAAATCCCACACCGAAATTTCGTGAAACTTAGTGGTATAGTATGTTCTAGACATCATTGTGACACGTTTAAGCTGGAAAAAGTCAAAATTACTGTGGGCAAAAAAACGGTCTTATTATCGGTCTTATTATTCAACATCCTCTCGTTATTTTTCTTCATACTGTTCTATATATTTTTAAGGGTGAATTTCAAACCCAAAAAGAAGCGGCATGGTGTATAAGTAACTTAACATTGAGCGGGACGTCGGAACAAGTTGCCTATGTAGTTGAGCAAGGTGTCATATCTCCACTATGGTGAGAAAAAAATGAACCTAAATAATAAATAATATGTGATATGGTATGTTTATTTAGTAATTTATTGCAACAACAAGACGCCCAAGTACTTCAAGTTTGCCTCGATGCTGTTCATAACATTCTGAAACAAACAACAACAGACAGACTTGATTACGTCACAACTGAAATAGAAGGATGTGGAGGTATGAATCATCTTTAGTTTATTGTGAAAACGTTTTAACAAAATACGTCTAGCACAATAATATGAGTATTTTCAAGGAGAACAACATTAGTGTTCTTTTGCTTATCTCGAAAAATTCTACGAATGAAGAATCTAATACTTTTTGTCTACTAATTCTAGGCTTGGACAAAATTGAAAATTTACAAAACCATCCAAATCAAGACATTTATCAACAAGCTTTTAATATTATCGAAAAATATTATTCAACAGAAACGGTAAGAAAGTCTCTAAACTTTTAACAGATAAACCTTACTTGGCAGTAATGAGACAAGTCTTGGTTTATTTCAACGAATATATTAATTTTTCTTTTGCTTTAGGATGAAGACCTATCAACAAATGGACAAGCACCTTGTACTGAAGATGAATTTTCATTTAGTAATCAAACTGTTCCAAATGAAAAAATTGAGTTTTAAGAGGTGGGATCAATTATTTAAAATGAAAACAAACCTTCGATCGTTTTTTGTTTATCTATGTCTATCTTTTATTCGTGGAAGATGAGCATGTCTTTGTTTCCAGGGTTTTTTTCTCGCTTTTAACTCATGTTTGTTTTCTTTTTTGGTTTTCAAGTGTAAGAGTTCAGCTGAAAGACAGATGACTTATTGTTGTTCTCTATTCATTATAATGTTTTTTTAATTCGTTGCTTTTCTTTTTTCTCTCTTTTTCTCTGTCTAGTTATGTTTGTTGGTTTGTTTGTTTATTGAACAGAAATATCGATTTTTGTTTTTGATTTGTCCTCCGTACACTTCTTCTTCTACATTTCTCTGTATGTATCTAGATATTTTTACAATCTTCAAAAAAAAATATATATAAGTGATTTAACCACTTGTGGCTATCACGAGATAAGAATGAAGCAGTAGACCAGTTTATAAGGTATTTGTCAGATCTCTCTTGTTTGATATTAGCCAAATTTGGAAAGTGCGTATGACTTTCACATATTGATTAAAAAGCTGCCAGGTAAGAAGGATTCTTCAACTGGATTGAAAAACACCTTGTTTTACCGCATTTGTAAAGTTTCTGCACTTTGGGTTTCGAATCCTCATTTCAGACACATGAGTTTGTTAAATATCCCAAAGGTTTCTGAGAAACCTTTCTAGCAAGTAAAGTATTTTCTGTGGATTTTTTTAATATTTATTGAGCTTTACAGTATGCTGTAGATAAAATAGAGTATTTCCTGAGATTCCGAAGTAGGTTGGATGGATTTTGACTGAGGTGTAAATTTTTTAAAATGGGTTATTTCGCTTATTACAGGTTTTCACTTCAAAAATCATTTTTGGTTGTAGAAAGATGCGTACAGGTCTTGTCTATCAAATACTGAAAATCGCAGGTCTCTATCTCATTCCTGTCAAAAGTTATTCAAAAAATAACCGCGGCCACTATTTTATTTTATAGATAATAGTAGAAATATTGTACTGTTGATAGAGCTCTGCAAAATTGTTCGAAAATTGGAGATGTATGGGCACGAGTCTAATTTTAGAAAACTATCTTTCTGATCTGTACCGATATCGGCTGCCTTGATTACTCAATCCAAGATTTGGAGTTGCTTGTAAACTAGGAGAATACATGACATATTCGCAAGAATATACGTACTATGCAAATAAACGACTGTTTTGTCGGATTCATTACTTCATAGTAATATTCCGGGACCATTATTCTAACGATTAATCTCATATTTATCACTCGAGGTTGATAGTTCTGTTTCTGTTCAATGTATAAGAATAAACAAGGAAACATCATTTTTATTGAACATCATATTATTAACTTCTGACCATCCTTTTACCTTCATCAGTCATAAGTGTTTGTCCATTTTGCTTTTTTCTCTGTGCTTATGCAATCATAAATAACACCTAATTGTTTTAAATTACATCCACAACGTATAATTGTTCTATCCATATATGAGAAAACATGCACTTGACAGCGACTGTTTGAATGCTTATAATATCTACTCGCTTGCAGTTATTTCGAAGAAAGAAAAATTTAATTTAATAATGAATATTCAAAAAAGTAGCGAATATATTTATTTTCAAAATTTATTCATTTATCATGATAAACATTGCCTGAACCTGTTGTTTATCGTCAATACATATATCTATTATATTGAATATGTACAGGTCTTTCTTTTATTGCTTATTTACTGCTGATTTCTTAAGAAATTTTCAATTATTATCACTGTGTTTGATGAATGACATATAAAAAACAATAACAAAAAAATAGAACCTTTTCATTAAGTTTTCTAAAAGTAGAAAAAACAAAATAACAATCATAATCAATAATTTTATATACAAAACGAACTATCAATTAGCACACAACATTAAATACGTCAAACACACACCTGGAATGTCATAGAAAAAGAGGAAAAAGAATACAACTGTCCCTTCGACTTTTGATCGTAGAAAAGGACGGATGTGAGTATTTTGTTTTTATTTTGAGACAAGATGAAATAAGTTTAACAGACATTATCTTCTGTCATATCGAATGAATAATTAGATGAAAATTTAACGACATTTTTTGATGTAATTGAATAACAATGTAAAAAATATTACAGATAACAAAACAGTAAAAAAATGGAACATGGTATCATACATTACGCTAACAGAGTGGTTACATAAGGCACGCTAATTTACTGTTTTTCTTACGTTAATAAAATAACAAATTTTCTCTATACTCTTAGGCGAATTCGTTTAAATTTCTTAACAAGATTGATTTAAACGACAGTCCTATTTATATATATGGACACTATTATTCTCAATAGACAATGATATTTTCATTGGATAAAGTGAGCTGATCTATCTTAAAAATTTAGAGTGAAAATAAAATCATAAATTTGTTCTACTTTCAAAGTTTATGACTATATATATATATATATATATATATATATATATATATATATGGAAGACTTTGATTCTAAAAATCATTCAGTAATAACTAAAATTTTGACTAGACACAAATATTCATTCGACGTTAAATACATTTTAAAGATCATTGATTTATCCTTTCTAGATTATTATTGGCTTTACTATACTTTTTTACATGCACTAATTTTGTGATATTTGGAATAGGTCTTGGTTGCCAATATGTTTGTGTTTTTAATGCTCTTTCAATAAACTGTAATCTATTTCTAACTTCATTCATTGATCTCATAAAATATGTTTGTAACCATTCAATGGCCACATCGGGGGTGAAATAGAGCGTGCATACTTGTTGAAACGTATCGATAAAACGCTCCATTTGTTCATCAAGATAGGCAAGTTTATTTTGACACTCTTGAGCACGTTTATAATGAATAAAATTATAACGAAGATGCAAATCATTTACATACAGTTTAGTAAATGACATGACCTCATCATATTGTTTTGCTAATCCCTCATATTGAAACATGACCTCATATAATTCGTGACCTAAACAAATATTAAATAGAAATATATCTTAATTTTCTAAACTTTCAAGAAATACATACCTGGAAATGTACAAGTAATATATGTTGGATATTGTGTTTTTTCCCATATCGGTATCTGACTACAACCGAGTATTTGACGTCCAATAGTATTATTGCTCACCGACGTGATCTGACCATATCGAGCTGTATATAACGCGTATGCTAGTGAGGGAATTGCAGACGGCATTAGTTCACATAATGATAAAAAGTGATCGTATCTATAATGAAATGAATGTATGTTTATAAGATTTATCATCGTTTTTATTTGAATTTGAGTCCGAATAAGTTATTAAAAAAGTAAGTAAAAATTTACCTTGACCATCCCGTAATCGCTACTCCTTTAAAATTGATAAAATGTTGTTTGTTTGCGTGATGCATAGCTCTCAACCACGATTCTTGATTTCGATAATAATGTCCAACATAGGATAGAAGTGCTAGTTCACCAGATGATCCTTTGTAGGAGCTTGATACCCATATTTCGCGAAAATAGGACAGTCTAAAAATTAAACAAAATAAAAATACAAAAAATAGTCTAAATATATCCACTATTTTCAGCTACCTAGCCCAAAATATATCATCAAACCATGTTGTAACATCGTCAACATACGCCCACACCATTGGTATAACAAGTTCGGTTAATGCAGTCATCTATTCAATAGATAAGGAATTTAATTTGATTGAGTTGAATTTTTTCTCTGTTAAAACTTACATTAGTCGTTTCACCGTATAACTGTGATATCATATCATGCCATATGAGCAATTTTATATTCGGTTTCTTTGACTTAACATATTTGGCGATTTTCGTTACATGTCTAAATACAAGAATATATATTTTTCTTTTTGTTAAAAGGTATATTCAACTTAGATGATAAACAAGATGAAATGACAGTTGGAAACTTTAAAGAACTTTCAATATGATTTGTATATACCAGTTTCAGTATTATACACTATCTTGTATTAGAACAACATATGAAACAAAACATGTAGGAGTTCATTTGCGGTTTTATCAAGTAAATATTGGGGGTGTTCTTTTTAGTTAACATTTAACTGAAAAATGTCATCTATCTTTTCAAATTAATAACAAATTATCATATATTCTAATAGAATAAAGAAGTATCACACAAGCTTGTCAAAATGATATTTACTTATTGAGTAAAATTAGAACAAGAAGAGAAAAATAATAAAAACACGTACAAATCGTGCATGATATCGATAAAGTTAAAAGAATTATTACGTATATTCAATCATTTACATTCATTCATCAATGAAATGGCACCATCAATCCTTGAATAGCTTCTAACACCACTTAGATTTAATACAAAATTTTTTTTTGTTTAAAAAATACAATAAAACGCTCACTCCCATAAAAAAAAATTCTTTTACGTTCGTATTGTACGTATATTTTAACTATTATTACATACATACCGTATTATTATTGCATAATTCAACCGATCAGATCATTTATAACTTGAAACTGTCAAAAAAACCTTTTTTGAACATGTAATAAAAAAAGAAAAAGAGAAAAAAGACTTATGCCCGTAATAACAAGTAGGTGGTAATATTGATCATTCGATCCAAATCATTCGTACAGATAGTCCACAATTAACGATGAACTGGCATTATAAACAACAAAATTTACTATTAAATCGAATTCAAGAATCGGATCGTATTAAACGTCGATATCCTGATCGTGTACCTGTTATTATTCAATCAAATAATAATGATCGATCATCATTGACTATTTCCAATATGAACTATTCATTATTCAAATCATTTACAACATCAGCATCTTCCTCCGATTTATCCTCAACAACAACAACAATGGATATTCGACATCGTCTTGAACATGAAAAATATTTAGTTCCAAATGAATTATCATTTGGACAATTTGCCTATAATATTCGAAAACGATTACGACTACGATCCGAGCATGCACTCTTCTTTTATTTGGGAAAAAATTTATGTCAACCAACTTTGAGTTCAACAATGGAACAGTTGTATGCAGAATTTAAAGATGATGATGGATTTTTATATGTGTGTTATACAGATGAAAAAGTGTTTGGATAAGTATAATGCGACAAAGGTTGAAAATGATTTCTGGACATGGAGAGTATTTTGGGTTTGTTTTTTTTTTCTATGAAAAACTGTTATTATATTTATTTCTAAGCGTTCATTTAATCAAAATTTGATCATTTATTTTAAGTTTCATCATCATCATTATAAGAAATGAAGGCTTCGAGAATTTTGACCAATAACATGTGCTTTTTTTGTTCTGCTCTTTTTTTTCTGTACTATATTTTAAAATTAGTAGATACCTTATGAAAAGATCAGATTCATCTTTAAAATTTAATTTCAGACATGCTGGATGTACTAATCGATAATAGACTTCATCACAACCCAAATGTAAATAATCGATGTCGGGATGAAGATTGAGCATTTGATCTAACATATCTAAGAAAAGACAAAATTTTTAAGTGAAATACAAGTTGAAATACCAACAGCTTGCTAACTTTAAAGAAATCTTTTAAGATTTCTAAATTAAGTAGAATGATTACTATGGAATTTTGTTTTTCTTCTGATTTTTTTTCTTCTACATTTAGAGAAGATGTATATCCATTTAGAGTCTCATAAATCTCATATAGAAAATTTCTCATATATAATTTTTCTCATAAGTAATAGTTTTCAGAGGATGAATATCTTTTGAATTTAGATAGATCGAGTGTAATATACACTTTACTTATACTTACCAAACAGAACAGTGTAAGATTCTTTTAAACATGGAGTTATAACTTGAGGATATCGTACATCTTCTCTCAAATGCATAAATTCTTTTAATTTTAATACATATTCCAAATGTCCATATGTTTGTAATAGTGGCATGACTTTTAAATTATTTTCTTTTGCCGTTTCTAATAATTGTTGAATATCTGTTTCTGTATAATGTTTTCCGTGTACAATCGATTTTAATTTTCCTTTAAATGGAAACATGTCTTCATATTCAATTAAGAGTCCAGTAGCACCTAACTGTTTTAAAAGTGGAAATAATTGTTTGAAATAATTGATTTTAGGTGCGGCACCTTTTAAATCAAGATGAATAAAACGTTCTAAATTTGTTGTATTTATAATATCAACCTTTGGTAATGGTGGTTGATATTCGTCAGATGATGGTATTATTTGGGGTCGTTGTCGATACTGCAATTGAGAATGATGAGGTTGATATTGTTCAAATGTATCAACATTAATGATATGATTTGATTTTAATAATTGATTCTCATTGTGTAGTTGATGTCGTTGTATTACACCACGGAATGATTTTAAACTAATATCTATGATACAATAATTGATGTTAGATATGAGAAATAAAAAAGTGTTTTGGAAACACAAAAATTTATTAATATTTGTTCTGACTTACTTTGTGATTGTGCTACTTGTTGACCTAATGGTAGTTGATTATTAACTTGATCAACAGATTGTGGTATTTGTGTTGTTGGTGGTAATAGTAATAAATTGGCTCGATTTCGTTCGATATCTATAAACATTCTATTTGGCTTTAAAACTGAATATTGTGATTTATTTCGTTTTTTTGTATGTTGATAATTTTGATCATGATGATGATGATGACGCGAATGTAAATTAGTTGTTTTTTGCAGATATGATGTTTCATCAGCTGCTATAGATTTTGATGGTAAAATATTTTCACGAAATACCGTTAAACAAATAACGAACAATACGGATAACGAACAAACAGCCAGTACACTACGGCGAAGCTGTCGACGACTAAACATGGTATTTAATGTTATCTATGAATTATAATAATGTGGATATTGAACGTGACTTTATCATTCACTGAGTATTCTTAAAATATAAATGAATAAATTATTCACATAACTAAAATAATAAAACAGAATTTTTATTATTATAATCAGTAAAAAACCTAGAATAGAATGAAATTTAAAACTATTTGAATCGAATGACTGTCCTGTGTTACTCCTTTCAAATCGTGAAATATTTCTCGATCCGAAAAATAGTATCTTGACAAGACTTACGTCTATTAGTGTGTACTTCTTTTTTGCTACATTAGTCTAGATATATGAATAATTTACATGCAAATTTTTATAACTTTCATATAAAATATTTGAGCACATCGAGTTTAAATGTGAATTCTATTCGACTCTATACACTCTAAAAAAAAATGCGACTTCTAGGAAGACGCAGAAGTCGGTTCCCATTTAGTCGCATAATTGTGCCTATTTGGAAGACACATCATGCGACCACCTGTGATAGTCACAACAACCCGTCTACTTTTAAGTCACATGGAAGACACTGAAGTCGGTTGCCATTTAGCCGTATTTTAGCGACTCTTTTGAAATCGCTTTGATGTGTCGTCTAGAAAAGACACATTAAAAAAAGTTTTCGATCCTGTCATTGGTCTGTTCGCTTACCAGACGAATGTGTTTATCACTGAACCATACAGGTACATTAATTATTAGTCTTATTGGCTTCTTACGTTGACGTTTCATGTGAGACATTAAAAACTTAGTAGAGTCACATGGAAGGCGGGAAGATGTGTCTACTAAGCGTCTTTCTGGTTCACATGTCTTCTATGCGACTTTTATATGTCTACCAGTAGACACATTGAAGACATATAGAAGACGTCTATTATTTTGAAGACGCAATGTAGTCATACAAAAGACACTTTTTCTAGGTAGACACATCGCTGAAGTCGCATTTTTTTTTAGGATGTAGAGAAGACAATGTTTTGATGAGAAATAACTATGGTTAGTTACCTTTCTTCTATAGTAAGACATTGTCGAATCACATTCTCAATGTTTATTCTGTAAAACGCCATTATATATATATATTGTTTTCCAGTCGATTGATTAATAATTCATTTGTTATACGTGTCAGTTAGTAATGGCTACTCTTTCACCTACTATATTATTTGAACTTCATTTTTCTATATAAATAGACAAAAAAAAGACTATTTGAGAATTGTCAAAGAAATATAAGTTGATGCTAGTTCTTTTCAGAAAAATACTTTTCCATAGAAAAAAAAGAAAAATCTCAGAACGGAAAAGTTTTCAAAGAAAATCTATATACGTTTGAAGAATTAATGAATATTTACAAGAAAAATTCAGTAATTATTAGAAAAATGAAGTTTTACTCAATTCTATAGTTCTTTCAAATACATACAAATCCAACCATGCGCAATTGCTTGATCTAACAGACATCATGATTATAAGAATAACGAGAAAAAATATTTCCGGTATCACAAAAGATACATCTATTCTAATTGTGTAGCTAACTCTGTCAAACAATTATTTTCGATGCTATTTTTAGCTTCTAACTAATGAATAATAATGCAAAATGTATGAATATATATTGCCGACATTTTATTTTATTTTCAAAGAGAATTACTTTTGTCGGTATCCATATTTTATGTACATAATTTCTTGTAATACGTTTCACAACTCAAATATAATTGCTTACATCAAATTAGACCATTATATCATACGGAACTGTTAAAAAATTTCAATAGAAAACGAACGTTAACCAAGTGGTGTGATCTAATTTAATAAATGAAATTTTCACCTGTTATCAGCTGTTTACTCTAATTCACTTTCATTATATAAGATATTTATAGAAGAGTTTGACACACACATATAAGACAAAGTGTATCTGGAAAGAGACAAGTACATGTTCTGTATGTTATTCTAGAGAAAGATGTATTAAATGGAGGAAATGCATGACCGTATAGTTTAAAATGAGTATATAATGGATAGACGACGTGGTTTTTGTAACAAAATATACTGACTTATGGTAATAAATATACAAAACACTTTCAGAAAGACAAAAGATAACTCATCTGACAAAAAGAAAAACGATAAAAATAACTTAGAGCTAAAATATATAAATAACAATGGAATTATTGTATGTTCTTTCTTACAAAGCACGTACAATAATATTTGATTGAAATAGAAAATCTTGCCTATACATACTACTGTATTAATCAAACAGTAACAAAACAAAAAAGAATATGGGAAATAAGATATTTCTGTAATCCATCAATGTTTTTGTCTCATACATGTCAATGTATTAAGAAGAGTAACGAAATTCGATTCGTACCAGACGTATAGTGAATATGAATTTGTTAACATTATTGCAATAGTATCAGAAATGAATTCTAACCTACAATTAATACTATACATTTACGTACTTTTAGTCTGAACTGAAAAATCGGATTACCCTATACTACCTTTTTTTGTACACTATTGTCTATGTTATATACGTTCTCACAATTACAATTTCTCTCCCTAGTTCTATTTCATAAGGTACTATATTCTTCACTACTTCTTTTTTTTTCCTCTTTGTTGCTTATAATATTCGTACGTAGTAGAATAAAAAGAAACGATTACAAAATTGTGTCTTTTTTTATTTTTGATGAGATCTATCATTTTTTTTACGATTCAATAATAATAGTCGAATAAAAATATTCTTTTATAGATTTTCTATCTAAAGGTGCTTGAGTTCTATTGACCTGAGAGGTTTTTCTTCAAGACCAAGCCGAGTGTACTCGATTTTCCCATACCAGAAAACAATATCAGCTGTACATCTCTTCCTCATTTTGATCAGATTTTAAAATTTGTGTTCATCATGTAGTCATATAAAGTCAAACGTGGATTGTAAAATAAGGCCAAATCCCGAATGTTCAATGAACGTTCCTCAAAAAGATACGATATTTTTAAGATTTTAAGATGCAAAAGACTAAAATAACTGAAGTTTTTCATCGTCTAATATTTTTTATCTTCTTTTCAATATTAAAACGTGTTTTATGTAGACAATGCACAGTAAAAAATATTGTGTCGCATTTTGTGTCGCAGTAAAATGTGTCGCAGCTCCTGTGAGAAAATTGTGTCGCAAAAGAATGTGTCGCACAATTATGTTACCGTTACTAAGAACTTTCAGACACAGTCCTTAAGGTCATTTCAGGATCTGTTCTCTTCAAAAAATTGCTAAATTTTATGTTTTACTATTCTCAGCAGTCTTCATTAGTATTTTTCTCGGCTTCTTTTCATTTTTGATGTGCTACAGGTGGCGCTAATACGTAAAAGATAAGAAAATTTTCGAACTTTCTAAGTGTTTTCAATTTCGAATTGGTGTTTTTAGTGGATAAAGATCCCTCTCTTGGTCTTTTTTAATTATTTTCTACGTTAAACATTTTTTCTCTAATGAAAAAGAACCAATCAGAGGCCTTGACTACGCCATTACTCCGAGATCTCGGAAACTAAATATTTTGAAGGCCTGTGAATATTACCGGCGAATTGAGCTTGTTGACATTATGTAGAGCATCCCAAAATGAACTAAAAAATATTCTTAAAATCGAATAAGAGATCAAAAATACTTAATTTCTACTGTTTTCTCTATGGTAGAAATACCCAGCGGAATGTGTCGCATGAAAATATGTCACAGCCTCATGGAAAAAATGTGTCACAAATGGCTTTCGGTGTCGCAGATGATTGTGTCGCAATTTGCGACACATTATTTTTTAGTGTGTGTAGTATCAAAGTGATCTCTTCGGAATGACACGCTTACTAAAATTTTTCTGATGTTTCTTCTAGGAGATATGAATTATTTCCCAAGAGCCATACGAAGAATGTTATCAATAGTATAACATAATCTACTAAGAATAATATATATTTATGATCTTCAGTCAATATTATTACAATACCTCGAGAATTTCATCTATTTGACTTGAAAATTTTATCAGATATACTTCAGAATACCTATGAAGTGTATTTTTTATTTTCTTCTATTACCTTTTGTGTTATAGAATTAAACAACTGAAAAATCTTGTTTTGATGTAGCAGTAGTTTTTCTACAACAGACTCGAGTTACACTCACATTGTGAATGCAGAAACTATTACCTACGAAGAAGTGAATAACAGATAGATATAATGGTCGTAGGACCTTTTTTAGAGTAAGCAAATATTTTTGGCACAAATAAAGAACCTATAGATCACAATAGGTTGTTAGTATTTCAAACATGAGAAAATACTTTTTTTTCGAATTTTCTTTAGATGTGCTTTAGGTGTGCTAGACGAGCTATTTCTTAAACGATTCTTAAATAGTTCGGAATCTCTTAATGAGCAAAATAAGATAGTACTGCCTCTCTAAACGTGATCATATCAACGTGAAGAAAAAAATTAAAGTTCAATTAGAGTCGCGGAAAAGTGCATTTTCTTATTCGGCACACTCGATAACCCAATAAATTTTCTGTTTTTGACGAGGAGTACTGCCCAAAGTTTAGAAAAAATTTTCAAACAAAATGGCAAAAAAGAATTTCCGTGGGAAAATAATATTAGTTTGAAAAGTTTTTCGAAACTTTTGCCAGTACCTCTCGTCAAAAATAGAAAGTCTACTTACGGTTATCGAGTGTGCCGAATAAGAAAACGTACTTTTCCGCGACTCTAACTAAACTTTATTTTTCGGTCGATGATATGATGTTATGAAGTGGACAAAAACGTCTAAATAACTTAATATAGAAGCTCTAATAAGGATGATTATAATCATAGTTTCTATAGTGAGGTAAACTACTTGTATGTGAAGAATGGAAGAATGAAAACAACGTATAATGTCGTTGAAAGATTTGAAACTATCACAGTATTGAGAGTGATGTAAGTAATAATTCTTCCTAAATTGATTATTGTTTTTTTATGACATTATTGTATGCACTGACATATATATCCTCTGCTATAATGAATATAATTTTTATTGAAAGAGGATG